GAGACCCTGGATCGAGTCCCATGCCAGGCTTCCTGTATGGAGTCTGCTTCTCCCTTTGCCTGTGTCTCTGCCCCTCTCTCTCTGTCTCTATGAATAAATAAAATTTAAAAAAAAGAACAATGCCTGGAATACAGTAAATTAACAGTAAAAGCAATCTATTATTGCCTATTTACTAGTGTCTGAACATAACAGGGATTAAATAATTATTTGAATTAAAAAATGATCAAGAAGAAAAGTATTAAAAAATCCATTTTAAGTGGCTGGTTTCAAATGAAAAAATCTAATTACAACAGAAGACAGTTTACTTCTGCAGCATATCTGTTTATATCTGTAGCATAAACTGACTCAGCTAACTACTATAATTTTGTCTTTTACTTGATTTTTTTATAACTTGGCTTTGTATTTAGAAATCTGGAAGAGTAATTAATCTCTTTGGCAAACTTCAAAAGAGAAAAACTTAAGAAGATAGAGGTCCATTTCTCTTTTAAAGTTAAGTCCTGTGTTATCAAAAGGATGCACTTTTCTCACAGTTCCCTTGGCTAATGAGTATGGTATATAGTCAGGGTACAGTTCTCAATATTAAACACTGCAGATTTTTAAAAATATTTTATTTATTTGAGAGAGAGAGAGAGAAAGAGACCATGAACGGGTAGGGGCAGAAGGAGAAGCAGACATCCCACTGGGCAGGGAGCTAGACCTGGGGCTCAATCCTAGGACCCTGGGATCATGACCTGAGCCAAATGCAGACCCTTAACAGACTGAGCCACCCAAGTGGCTCCAGTGCAGGATAGTACAAAAGAGAAAAGGTAAAGTCCCTTTCACACCAACTTTGTAAACTTAACATTTTGAGATATATCATTCCAGGCCTTTATTTGGTGTACAATTAGTTATGTATATTTATGTAGTTTTATAAAGAGAAAGTATATATGATTTTTTTGTAGACACTACTATAAAATTTATGACTCAAATATATAAGTATCCTTATCAGTATATGTAGATTTACTGCTTCTGTTATGATACAGGTTTTTAAAAAACATTTTATCCACTCCCTTATTGCTGGTCATTCAGGTTATTCATTTAAAAAAAGTTTATTTTTAAAGATTTTATTTATTTATTTATTTATTTATTCATGAGAGACACACAGAGAGAGAGGCAGAGACACAGGCAGAGGGAGAAGCAGGCTTCATGCAGGGAGGCCAGCTCGGGACTTGATCCTGGGACTCTGGGATCATGCCTAAGCCGAAGGAAGACGCTCAACCGCTGCCACCCACACATCTCTAAATTTTTTCATTATACCAAATGCTGTAATAAACATATCAATATCCAATTTTCATTGTATCTACAGACTAGGTAAATGAGATCTTTATATTCAGCTTCCAGTGTCATAAAGCCTGACATTTTTAATTTGGAGATCAAACTCTGGTTCTTATCTTTTATTACCCAGTAAGAATTCTATGTGAAAATATAGCCTGGGAAGACTACTCACTACACAGCAGCCATACTGGACTTTTATCTGTACTTCAAATGCCAATTTCTCTTTCACCACAAGAGCTTTATTTAGCGTGTACAATTCCCGTTTCCTGGAACAGTCTCAGATACTCTCATGTTTGGCTTTTTGTCATTCAGGCCTTAGCTCACACTCCACTTTCTCTGGTAATCCTATCTAGCTATTCAATCTAATAACTGCTAGGGAGCGTGTGGGCATTTATCTTGTCAAGAGTAATGGTCTTCAAAGAGAAGCTGGAAATTCTTTGCCATTATTATCTGATGTGTATGCTTGGGAAGACTGCTTAAATTTAAAACAGAAGCATCATAATTTTGGTTAGAATAAAAAAAAATGGTTGCAGTTGCTTACCTATTATGTGGGCAGTGATATAATATATGCTGGAATTTGTTCTCTCCGAATCCAGCAGTTTAGTTTAATTCATGGCACTTGGGACGCCTAGGTGGCTCAGCAGTTAAAGTGTCTGCCTTTGGCTTAGGGTGTGATCCTGGAGACCCAGGACTGAGTCTCACGTCGGGCTCCCTGCATGGAGCCTGCTTCTCCCTCTGCCTGTGTCTCTGCCTCTCTCTCTCTGTCTCTCATGAATAAATAAATAAAATCTTTAAAAAAAATAATTCATGGCACTTGATCTCTGTCTCTACTAGTTATGCAACTATACCTGGCAATTCAATGAAGGTATAGACCATTTCCCTATTAATGCCCTTGTGATCCCTGGCTTGGATCACTAATTTGGCTTCTCGAAAACGTATATATGAACTTAATGCAAAAGCAGTTGATTTCTCCCTTCCTTGGAAACTTCTGCCTGCAAACACTGAGCTTCCCACAGGTTCTATATCAAGTGGCTTTGTCTCTCTTTGTATACTACTGCCTTTCAGACATTTAGCATGTAACTTTCTTTGATCTTTGAATTAATTTATCTGTCCTTCCTCTGCTTTGGCCTTCTGAAAAGGCCATTCACTGTCTCATCACTTACCCTTTTGACCTTGAGGCTTTCTTGTTATCTTGGTAAACTTTTTGACAGAGAAACTATGTGAGAACACTCTGCTTTTTTTACACTGGAAAAAGATTTTAAAATTCTTCATGTGAAAAAATAAAATAAAATAAAATTCTTCATGTGAGAACACTCTGCCTTTTTACACTAGAAAAATATTTTTAAATTCTATTTATTTATTTATTTATTTATTTATTTATTTATTTATTTATTTATTTATTTATTTATGACAGTCACAGAGAGAGAGAGAGAGGCAGAGACACAGGCAGAGGGAGAAGCAGGCTCCATGCACCGGGAGCCCGATGTGGGATTCAATCCCGGGTCTCCAGGATCGCGCCCTGGGCCGAAGACCGGCGCTAAACCACTGCGCCACCCAGGGATCCCTAAATTCTTTTTTTTAAGTAAACTCTACCTCTAACTGGGGCTAGACCTTACAAGCCCAAGATCAAGGGTTGCATGCATTTGGGCATTCTCCAAGAAAAGGCCAGATCACTCTCTAATACAAGGAAGTCTACCTGTTGGCAAGCTATTCACACATCATCTGCTTTACAGTGCCTCACTTTTATCTATTCATTGACACCCGAAGATAATCTGATAAGGAAAGTTTTCCGAAGAGGGAATCGTTTTAGCCTACTTCCTGCCCCCTCTCCATTTCATTTTTACCCCTGAAGTAAAATACTGACTTAGGTTTTTGTTTTTTTTTAATGATTGGTGGAGAAAATTAAAGACAGCAGAGCCAGGCGGTAGATCTGAGAGTGCTTTAATAGGGAGCGCTCCCGGGTGAGGTTCCATGACTCGGAGAGGAGGCCTGAGTCAGGGAAGTCGCGCCCAGGAGGGGAAGGGGGTGTGCTTTTTTATGCCTGTGCAAGTTAAGGGGGAAAAAATGGGGTGGTTAGGGACATGTGGTTTTATGTGATAAGGTGAGACAGCGTGCATGTTCTTGTTTTTGGCTGATTCAGGTGTTCTTTTAGGGGGGTCTCGGTAGGTCGCGAGTTGTTTGTGACTTGATGAGTTTTAGGAACTTATCTGAGGTGACATCTGGGGGAAGGGTGACCCCCACCTATTAGTCTTAGGTCTACCTTTGGAGAGGCCCTACCTCCGTCTGTCCAACAGCGACTGGGCCTTAGGAGTGTAAACCTCAAGAGAATTCATTCTAACGCTGAGGATGATGAGCACCTATCTGGGAGGAAAAAGTGTGTCCTGACAGCGGTATCCTCAAGCTAAAGTCCAAAAGCCCATCTTGCCTTGGAAGCTTGGCCTGTTGTCATTTATTTATATCCTGATCTCTCTCTCTCTCTCTCTCTCTCTCTCTCTCTCTCTCTCTCTCTCTCTCTCTTTATATCCTGATCTTCTGCTGCCGCTGGAGGCTCTGGCTCTTCAGGGATTTAAAGCCAGTAGAGAGCCCTGGAGCCACACAGCTCCTTTGTATCAACTTTCTTCCCAGTGTATCAATACCCGTTTCCCAAGTCAGTTGTAAAGCGCCGCGTCCTATCTCTAGAAATGATGAGGACTCAGAGCCACCAGTTCTCAGGACTCCAGCCGCAGATCTTTGGCGCTCTTCCCAGGAAAGTAACCATTCCCCACCCAGCTCCGCGGGCAGGGCGGAGCGGATCCGCCCGCCTCTGACTTCTCCTCCCCCCGCCCCTCCCCGGGAGAGGGAAGAGCAAGACCCAGAGAGGCGCGGCGAGGGCTACCAATCCTGTCCTGGAGACATTAAGGGTTTTCTGATCAAAAGTAGTCATCAATTGTTTTTTGTTTTTTTTTTTTTAATTTTTATTTATTTATGATAGTCACAGAGAGAGAGAGAGGCAGAGACACAGGCAGAGGGAGAAGCAGGCTCCATGCACCGGGAGCCCGATGTGGGATTCGATCCCGCGTCTCCAGGATCGCGCCCTGGGCCAAAGGCAGGCGCCAAACCGCTGCGCCACCCAGGGATCCAGTAGTCATCAATTGTAATGTAACCTGCCCCCCAACCCCGGTAGTTTGTCTTCCCTAATTTAAACCTTTGTTTCTGTAGATTTGACCTTTTGACTTCAGGCGGGGGGTCTAGCCGGAAAGGGAAGTTTTTCTCCCCCCCCCCCCCCCCCGCTGGTTAACAGCCGCGTCTAGTCTCTGGCCGTCATTGCAAGAATTTATCGAATAGGTTTCCATCGCTGTATCATAAACTCATTAAAAGTGTGTACTTACGCGGCGCCTGAGCGCCCAGTCGGTTAAGCCATGGACCCTTGAGTTCAAGCCCGGGGTCGGGCTCCAGGGTGGAACCTACGTGAGGGCGGGGCGGGGGAGGTGTGGCGTTAGCCTGCGTCCCCGGCGGGCCGGCGAGGGCCCGGGCGGCTGCGGCAGCAGCGGCGGCTACCGCTGGGCGGCGGGTGGCGGGGCCTGAGAGCGGCGGGCGGCGGGGCGCGCGGGAGGGCCTGGCGCGAGCCCGCCGGCCGGGGGCGGGGCGGGGGGTTATTTCAGTGCGCGGGGAGGGTGGCCCGAGGCCTCGCCTGGGGTTAAGCGGCTTCTCGGGCAGAGCTGGGAGGGCAGAGCCGAGAGTGCGCGGCTGGCGTGAGCCACCCGCCCTGAGCGCTAGGGTGGCCTCCCACAGAGGCCCGCGCCATGAAGTCCAACCCTGCCATCCAAGCCGCCATCGACCTCACCGCGGGTGCCGTTGGGGGCACGGCGTGTGTCCTGACCGGGCAGCCTTTCGACACAGTGAAAGTGAAGATGCAGACGTTCCCCGGCCTGTACAAGGGCCTCGTGGACTGCTGCCTGAAAACGTACTCCCAAGTGGGCTTTCGGGGCTTCTACAAGGGAACCGGCCCCGCGCTGATGGCCTACGTGGCCGAGAACTCTGTCCTCTTCATGTGCTATGGCTTCTGCCAACAGCTCGTGAGGAAGGTGGTGGGATTGGACGAGCAGGAGAAGCTGACCGATCTGCAGACGGCAGCTGCGGGTTCCTTCGCCTCCGCGTTTGCCGCGCTGGCCCTGTGTCCCACTGAGCTTGTGAAGTGCCGGCTACAGACTATGTACGAAATGGAGATGTCAGGGAAAATAGCAAAAAGCCAAAATACAATCTGGTCCGTCGTGAAGAGTATCCTTAGAAAGGAAGGCCCCTTGGGCTTCTACCACGGACTTTCGAGCACTCTACTTCAGGAAGTACCAGGCTATTTCTTCTTCTTCTGTGGCTATGAACTGAGTCGGTCATTTTTTGCCTCCGGGAGATCAAAAGATGAACTAGGCCCTGTCCCTTTGATGTTAAGTGGTGGAATTGCTGGAATTTGTCTTTGGCTTGTCATATACCCAGTGGATTGTATCAAATCCAGAATTCAGGTTCTTTCCATATCTGGAAAACAGGCTGGGTTTCTGGGAACGCTTCTAAGTGTGGTGAAAAATGAAGGAACAGCAGCTTTATATTCTGGGCTGACAGCTACTATGATTCGAGCGTTCCCTGCCAATGGGTCACTATTTTTGGCTTATGAATATAGTAGGAGAATGATGATGAACCAGTTTGAAGCATACTGAAGTGTCTTGGTGAACTGGATCCAAGTAAATGCCTAGAGAACTACAGTTTATCTCTGGTTTCATGGAGTACTGGACCAGTGGAATTATTTTTTATTTCATGGGAATTTTTTGTCTTCCTTTCTTCTACTCTAAACTTTACAGAAGAACTTCTATATTGCATCATATGATTTATGCCCATAATTGTCTTAAAATAGAAAGATGGCTGCTTTTCTGTTTGGTAGGATATACATAGTGAGCAGGTGGCCTATAACCCTGATCTGAAATGGTCAATATAGTTATATCACTGCTTTTGTATAAACCTGTACATGTAAAGCAATTTAGTTGGTTATCTGTTGTGAGTAAAACTGTTTGATTTCATGTTTAATCTCCTATCACCAGAAAGAGTTAACCATGTTTCATGAAGATGGTCATAAATGATGACTTAACCCATTTAAGATGTAGGTCTCTTTAAACCTCTGCCTAATACGTTCATTATACTAGGCAATTAAAGTTTTTAAAGAGCTTTTGTGTGGTGCTTGAAACCCCAAATACGCATCCAGATTTTTAAAAGAACAATATACCCACATGCTGGTGTAGCTTCTACACTCTTGAGTTAAAATTTCAGAATAAGTATCCTGCATTTTCTCAAGATGCTCTACACTGCATTTTCTCAAGATGCTCTACATAAGTATATGTAAATGCAGGATTATATATTATATATAAAATGAATATATAAAATATTTTTTATTTTTTAAATATTTATTTATTCATGACAGAGAAAGAGAGAGAGGCAGAGACACAGGCAGAGGGAGAAGCAGGCTCCATGCAGGGAGCCGGACATGGAACCAGATCTCGGGTCTCCAGGATCAGGCCCCCTGGCTGAAGGCAGGCACTAAACTGCTGGGCCATCAGGGCTGCCCTTTATTTTATTTTACATATATATTTAGATATATCTATGATATCTCTATTTAGATATATGTTAGATATATATATCTGTGCTATATCTATGCTTATATATATATTTAGATATGTATATTCGGAAAGCATCTTGTTTTGGGTTTTATTTAAACTTTAGTTAACGTATGGTATATTATTAATTTCAGGATAGAATTTAGTGATTTTTTTTCAGTTCAAGATGCTCTATCCTTAAAATAGTGAAATTCATTTTCAAATATGGCCCCATATTCTGCATTATTAGTTAGGTGTGGCCTATAGCATCAGGGCTTGGGAGTGGCACAGCCTTCATCTGTACCAACTTACCTTCTTCTTCCATCCCAAAGAGCTTCCTCCTCTGCTGGGCTTTAGATTGAGAGATTGATTATTGGGATGGGGCTGTTGATGCATTTTGGGTTATTCATTGTCCTCTCTGCCACCACTAGTCAGAAACCCTTCTAGGGGAACACAGAGTGCTAAAGCCAAAGGAACCTTTGCTCTTTGTTTAGTCGTAGGTGACAGTATTCATAGATGTAGTGCTTTCCTCTCAGGTAGAACTAGACAGAACTTAGTACTTGCACTCACTCCACAGTGAATAAAGCTAGAGCTGACCCATCCTGAAATTTATCTCAAGGTATATAACTCTTTGTCATTCTTTTACAATGTTTGAACCTTCTAAATTTGGTATTGACAATCAGGGAATTTTACCGATGACTGTATATGAGGTGTGACTTTATAAGGCAATTAAACATAAGCAATTGTACTAAACCATATCATATGTATGTGTATAAGCATTGAAAAAAAACCCCAGAAAACAAAAACAAAAAAAACAGAGTTGATCTGATCCTCACAGAATTGGAGATAGACAAATACCTGTTCTTTGGTCATATGATATACAGAGGGTCATTCTTGTTACAGCTGAAGTAAGCCTCATTATTCTTTGCTACTCCAAGACCTGCAGAATTTCTCACAATAAAAAAGTGTTCTTAAGAAGCCTGTGAAACTGAAACAAGCAGGCTAACAGTACACACCATAGATGTCTATCACCGTTGGGAATCTTCTGTGGAATCTCCAGTTTCCTTTGGCTTTTTGCTATCCATAAAGTCTCTGTGGTAACTCTAGCCACAGTGCCAGAAACAAGAGGGTCAGAGAGATGAGACGTCAACACATGATGATTGTGGCAGACATCTGGGGGAAAGGAGGCTCAGTGCTGTGCTTCATGTGCTCAAGAGCAATGTCTGGTCTTCCATTTGCTTTTTCTTTAAAAGAAAATTATTTTTCAGGGCATCTGGGAGGGCAGTCAGTTAAGCATCTGCCTTCCACTCAGGTCGTGATCCCAGGGTCCTGGGATCGAGCCCTATGTCAGGCCCCTTGTTCACTGGGGAGTCTGCTTCTCCCTCTCCCTCTGCTGTTCCCCCTGCTTGTGCTTGCTTTCTCTCAAATGAATAAATAAAATCTTTAAAAATAAATAAAAGAAAACCATTTTTCTACTTTATTTTTAACTTACTTATATGTACATATGTTCTTTTTTTAACTTGCAAGTGTATTTTATATCTTAATAAGTATGCACAAGTGTATAACAGATAAAGTGTACTTACAAGACATAGAAGATAATAGAACAGCTTTTAAAATTAAGATTTGGGGCAGCCCTGGTGGCGCAGCGGTTTAGCGCCGCCTGCAGCCTGGGGTGTGATCCTGGAGACCCAGGATCGAGTCCCACATCGGGCTTCCTGCATGGAGCCTCCTTCTCCCTCTGCCTGTGTCTCTGCCTCTCTCTTTGCTCTCTCTGAATGAATAAATAAATAAATCTTTTTAAAAAATAAAATAAAATTAAGATTTGAAGCAATGTGTTACTGAGGCCCAAAATATTTTGGGAATGTACAGATCTCTAAAAGTATAAGTAGAAAATCATATAAATATAGGAAACTTGTACACTTGGTAAGGCCTATTTTTTTTAGATTTATTTCTTTTAGAGAAAGCACGTGTGTGCGGAGGTGCAGGATATGGGGAAGAACAAAGGGAAAGGGAGAGAGAATCCTCAAGCAGATTCCCCACTGAGCAAGAAGCCTGACACAGGGCTCAGATTCCAGAACGCTGAGATCATGACTGGAGCCAAAATCAAGAGTTGGCTGCCAAACCGACTAAGCCACCCAGGCTCCCCTGTTCTATAAATTTCATACGTAAGTGGTCAGTAGCTGCTTAGTGGGGCTTCAGTGAAGCAGACCTGAATTAAACCAAAATAGAGACTAGAACTGGCTCCCAGCGGGAAGTGGACCTCCTCAGAGTCCACAGGCCCCTGCCTAGGCACCTGTGAGGTTGTCTCAGCCCTGTTGCAGGCAGACCTTTCTACACATTGTCCAGCAAAGGTTTAGAATACCTTCAATAGAAACAGGCAGGTAAGAAAGATAGAACTCTAAGTCAGGAGAACTTTTTTCCACTCAACTTGGTTAATTCATGGTTTGATATTTGGGTACAATTTGTATCATTTCAGATTTGTACTACAGAAAAAAATGTAGTAATTTGAAATAATGTATTTAAAGAAATTTGAGTTTTATATCTATTTACCTAAATAAATTATTTAATCAACACCATTTACAGTGTAAAAGGGTATTCAGACATTAATGACATCTGGTTTCTGTCCTCAGGGATCTCATGGTTTAGATGCTTGTTTTAAAGCAAGTTAAAAGAGTGATATTCTAGAATAAAATTTATTTATTTTTTAAGATTTTATTTATTTACTCATGAGAGACATAGAGAGGCAGAGACATAAGTAGAGGGAAAAGCAGTCTCCCCTCAGGGAGCCCAATGTGGGACTCGATCCCAGAGCCCTGGGATCATGCACTGAGCCAAAGGCAGGTGTCAACCACTGAGCCACCCAGGCATCCCTCTATAATAAAGTTTTAAATGAAAAAGCAGAATCCAAATTTTATGTGTGTGTAAAATCAGTAAGAGAATCTTTGTTTTTTTTTAATTTTTATTTATTTATGATAGTTACAGAGAGAGAGAGAGAGAGAGAGGCAGAGACACAGGCAGAGGGAGAAGCAGGCTCCATGCACCGGGAGCCCGATGTGGGATTCGATCCTGGGTCTCCAGGATCGCGCCCTGGGCCAAAGGCAGGCGCCAAACCGCCGCGCCACCCAGGGATCCCAGTAAGAGAATCTTTGAATTTAAGGAACTCTTTTCCTTAATTGTGTTTTGTTTTTGTATTATGGGATTTTTTTATATTCTTTAAATTGGTCCATGGTATTTCTTTTTTTCCCCTAGTTTTATTGAGATATAATTAACAAATAACATTGTGTAAGTTGAGATATACAATGTGATGATTTGACATATGTGTATCCTGTGAAATGATTACCACAATTAGGTTAGTTAACACATCCATCACCTCAACAGAGTTACCATTTATTTGTGTGTGGGTGGTGAGATGGTTATCTCTAATATTAAAATTGGTTAAATCCATTTTTCGACACCTACCTTTATTTTATTTATTTATTTATTTATTTTTAATTTTTATTTATTTATGATAGTCAGAGAGAGAGAGAGAGGCAGAGACACAGGCGGAGGGAGAAGTAGGCTCCCAGTCATGCCGGGAGCTCGAGGTGGGATTCGATCCCGGGTCTCCAGGATCACGCCCTGGGCCAAAGGCAGGCGCTAAACCGCTGCATCACCCAGGGATCCCAACCTACCTTTATTTTAGATTTCACTTTCACATAAAAATTTAACCCTCAACTTTGAAAAATCTTTTCTCCTATGCCTTTTGGTTTACTTTCAGGACCCGGTGGTCTGCATCTTGCAATGCTACAGTGATGTAGCTAGAAATTCATTCCTTGTCTAGCTTTAATGAGATACCAAGCTGTTTAGTATATGGGATACCTCAGAAGAACCATATCTGACAATAGAGTGTCAAACTTGCCTATTTTCTTGCTTGAACAAGAAAATATCCCCAAGTTGCTGAATTAGAAAGAAAAATAGTTTCTCTTTGTTCTGGCTCAGAGCTCTAAAGAAGGGTGATATTATTTTCAGGAAGTAATTGTGTAGATAAAATACTAGGGATGCCTGAGTGGCTCAGTGAGTTGGGCGACCAACTC